TGCACTTTCCACGACGGTTCTCAACTTCTTCCAACACAAAGCGAAAGAGTAAAATATTAGTTTAGTCTTATTTTATGAAAATTCGAAAATGAAAATACTTATTCAAGAATTCTCAATTTTTCAGTTTCCTTCCACGACGGTTCTCAACTTCTTCTTCCAACACAAAGGAGCGAAAGGATCTATAAACCGATATTAAAACCGGGGACATTCGTTCAACGATTCTCGATATTTCGTCAGTCACCTCTCCCTCCCCCCTCCCCTCCCCCCAACTTTCCAATCCCTCAACTTCTTGGACGATAAACGCGAAAGGGGTAAAACCGTCCAACGATCCTCGTAAACACGGCCGCCCTAAACACCAACCATTGAACCATTGAGAGGGGGCAGGGAAAAGGTCGCTTTTTGCCCGATTACCGAAACCGGCGGCCGCTTAATTAATGATCGTTGAGGCGTCTGGACCAAGGGTGGCGGCCGGAAGTAAACGGATGGCGCGAACAACGCCGATCAGCGACATCTCCTTCACATTCTCCTTCTGCAACCCCCTCCTTTTCAACCTGAATTTCCCTGAATTTTCGACATCGCTAAACATCTCTCTCTCTCTCTCTCTCTCTCTCTGTATACAAGATAATTATTATCTCGAGATAAGAAACTCGTCGAAGAGGGAGGAGCGTGGTGAGGTTGGAGGGTGAGTGCAAGAAGCGAGGAGTTATTGTCGGGTGACGATACGACGCAAACAATCATTAATAGCCCCCAGGATATCGTAATTACAGGATTTTACAAGGAGGGAGGGGAGGGGAGGGGGGGGGAGCGAGCGATTTGACGAGGGGAGTAATATTTCAATCAAAGTCTAGAAAGCGAGATAGAAGGCCAAAGGAGGAGGAGGAGGAGGAATATTTTTAAACCGAGGATTTTTTTCTCTTATTCTTCTCTTTCTTTTTTTTTTTTCCAGTTGGAGTTTCTTTGACGATGACGAAACACCGGCAACAACAACAATAATAATAATAATAATAATTATAATCGGCGCTTACGCGATCTTTGTATGAAAAGTTGAGTTGGCGAAGTGGCTCGCCTTGAGGAGCGTTTAGAGGAGCGTTTCGCGAGTTTTGTTTCACTTGTTCGCCGAGTAATTGAATCGTTCCTTCTTGGAAACGATATTTATCCTTTTTCTCCCCTTCCTTTTTTTTTTCTAAAAAGCTAAATTGAAGGAGACTTGGGAGGAGACTGTTCGTTCCGCTATAATAATAATAATAATAATAATAATCATTTCGTATCTCCTTCCTTCACGTAACTCGAAAGGAATGACGTTTGTTATTCGAAGACTTCGTCGAAGAACTTGCCAAGTATTCCTTCAACTATATCTTTAAAAGAGCATTACATTGCTCGCTGTTAACAACGATAATACCAACGATGAATACGATACGATTTTATCGACATGATAAAAGAGATACTATCCTATTCGAAATCGCCAACGATCGTTACTTCTTCCCTTCCCCCTCCTCAAGAGAGAGCGTGAAATAAAGAGAAGAAGAAGAAGAAGAAGAAAGAATGAAGCTTAGAACGTGAGGGGTGGTGGTGCACGATTTTCGGAGGGCCGAGATGCTAAACTACCCCATGGCGTGCGAGTGGACTGGTTGGGGTGGTTGCGCGATGAGTCGTCAGGGGTCGAAGAGGAGAGAGAGGGAGGGAGGGAGAGACGTGGAAAAAAAAGGTGGAGGGTGAAGGATGGCGGAGGCGGAGAGAAGGTGGGTGCTGCAGTTGTATAAGTCTCTGCACGTGGAGTTTTCATAGAGTAAGGCAGGAGAGGGGAGAGGTTGGAAG